ACATATAATTAATTAAGTAATTCATAAATAAATTTAAATAAAAACATGATGTTTGAAATTTAAAATACCTAACCTTAATTTTGAAATGTGTATAAGTAAAAGCGGGATTTATGTATTCTTCCCAAAAAATAACATCCACGTATGTCAACAATTATTTTTAATCACAATATTACACGAGTTCCACAAATTTTCAACAACACATTTAATCAATTTTCATGAAAATCTACTAAAAATCTGATTTTAATTCACGTCAAACATAGGCTGTAAGTTATTGCAAGTTCTTATGTCACGTGGGATCGAACAACAGGGAGTCTAACTCTAAAAGAAGTCAAGTCTTTTTGAAGGGGTTTTCAGTTATAATGATTATTCGAAGAAAATGGTTATAATGCTTGCAATGGCCTTAAGATTGCTGTTTTTGTTTAAGAACAATGTAGAACATATTGAAACTTTAGATTTTTTATGCACTTTTTGACCATTTTGTTGATCTTTCTTCTTGAATTCACATACGCATCAATTCCTCTATTTTGGAATAGACCAAAATAACATAAACAGATGCAGAGACTATTTTGGAACATTAAAGTTAATAGTAAAGGTGAAGGTTCTAGCCTGACGTAAATGTCCTCGTATGCTTTGTTGAGATAAAATCTTGAAAAGGAAAACACTTCAGAATATATATGGACGGGCAGATCGGCAGAAATGTGTCGAAGGTTCGGAAGCAAGCATTGATTGTATTATATACGTATTGACAATTATTTAAAAAAATTGAGCGTATCACTAAATTAAGGTGCTCTGGACATTAAGAAGAGAAGCTCTAATTGACTGAACTCCTAAAGAAGGCTTCTAAGTTCCTGAATGGTCATTTCCGATGCATTCAACTGCTTCATGACATCTTGCAGAGATACTGTGTTCATGTCTTTTCATAATTTGTTGATGTTCAAGTCATACAATTCCTGTGCATTGCTCTCTTCTTCTGTTTGAGAATGTACGGAGCTTGATTGGGTGAACTTGGATGCCAGGGACCATGTCTTTTGCTTTGATGTAAAAATGGCCAATGCGAGGACTTGCTGGACAGATGGAAGTTGAATCTAATTATTAATATTTTCGTGCAAATCTTTGAGGCTGGCCAACTATGTGCATACGGAAGAAGATGATACTGATGCTTCTTTGGAGGACTTTAGCCTGCATATATGATCTTCAACATTAGCAACTGCTGGATGAGATTTAGATGGCAGACTGTTTGATCTAGCATGGAAAGCCATTTGAATTCTAAATTTTGATGAACAATGCAAAGTTGAATCAGCTATATTTTTATAACTTGGATGATCAATGGAAAGTTGGATCAGGTATATATAGGCAGATGAACTCTAACAGTAGCATACAGAAAGAATATTTTCCACCGAATATGTTGTCTTACTATCGTTGTTATTTTAATATACGATTGCACACGAATACCTTGTCCCCACTGATGTTGGAAAGGAAGGCCACCAAAAATGGTAAAAAATTGTATGTGCCAGAAATGATCCGAATTAAATGGATCTTGTAGTTCTCTGTGTGATGCTGCTATAGTTGAACCAGAAAACAAAAGGAATCATGACAGAAATTCATTTGGCTGTAGTTTCATCATCTGCATGCACACACACGTCAAAATATTCCTTATCGGATGCAACTTTGGCTAAAATAATTTTGATGTGGAGGAGAAATTAAATAGTGGCGCACATGAGTAGAATGTTATCTGCTTGAAATTATACTCATAAGCCTTTGAATTAGCATAAAATAATAAGAACTTCAACTAAGGAAGAATTTTTCTAACCAGTCTATTTTTTCAGGAAAAAGTGAAACATGTTTCCAGCCTAAAGGATTTTTTTTTTTTTTTTAATATGGTCATTTAGTAATGCAAATTGACCGTTGTACCAATTTTAATAAATGCTTCATAGGAAAAGTTGATGAAATTCTTGATAGTATAGATTTTTTGTCAATATTGACAAGGAAGACTATGACATCTAAATGAATTCTCGTCAACTTTTAATTTTCGAGAATACCTTGTTGGTTCAAAATTTGGATAAAAGGAAGAGAGAAAATTTGATCACACTTCTGAAGAGAAAACACTCGGATGTATCTACTTATAGTATTTCTTGGTAGTTCCGTAGCAGGTTTTTTCGAAGAACTCTATTTATTCTGGTGTGACATCATTATCCTATGCTAGGCATGTAACGAAGATTCTCCCGCTTTTGGAAACTGGGTTGCATTAGGAGGTTCGGACTATCTTCTTGTATCAATTTATCTAACTGTTACATCGTCTTGTTGCTCTTCATAGAATAGC